GCAGGGTATCTGGAGTAAATGTGAAAGTAAGAGGTAATTTATTGTAAATATATTTCCCTACTTTCTATTCTAACTTTTCTTCCTTTCCTTTGTAATAATTACTTTACAAATACCAGTAGGGAATTGAAGAAGAAAAAAATTCGTGCTTTGACTGAGGACTTTAGGAATAAGTCTTTCCTTTCAGTGAGATTAGCAGTGTTCATTCTAAATTCAGAAATAAACCGTGGGAGTTCCTTGAAAGCAGTAACTCTAGATCATTTCAGTTCCTCTTTTAAAATGACTAGTAAATGTTTGCCATCATCTATATAATTTTTCTAAATATATAAGCTAAATATGAAGTTTCTTTAAAAGGTGATGAAAGGGGGGGTGGGTTTATGTTTACAGCATTTGGAACGCTTACCAGTGTTGCTTTGCATATCCTATAGGGAAGAGTAAGTATACGAAAACACCCTTACATTTTATGTGTCCATTTAAGGAAAACAGTAAGCAAACTCAGAAATCTCTGTCTGTCATTGTGACTCTTCCTCTCTTGCAAAAGCATGTTTATTTACTTAAAATAGCTGATCACTGTTTTTCCTCTGCCCTTTGGCTTGTCTACTGAAAACAGTAGATAAACCATGAGATCCGTTATTATTTGTGGTCTCTAAAATTTAGCAGCACTTACACAGACAGGGTACTGTCTGTCATCTTGGAAAATCCTCAGATATACAGTGCAGTAAATGCCATAGGCTTTTCTCAGCCTTGTGGGATTTTTTTAAATGGTCTCAGTAATGGTCTGGGTGGTAGGACTACTTGGTAGAGACCTGAACTGTGCTGTGGATTCCCTTTTGACCTTAGAGTAATTCTTGGTTTACTCTGTATAATGAAGTAGGAGTGTTAGTTAATCAGTTTTTGTACAGAAGTTATAAGTCTGCTGCTTTTTTTAAAGTGGTTTGTAAATGAAAAGTAATGACTGTCATTGTCCTTAATATAAGAACGGTTGGTTATCTAAGAATAGGCAAATCTATTGCACGGGAACTTCTTAAAAATTGTTAGTTTGTTGCTCGTTCTTACTGAGCAGTCCTCTTTTTTGGGTAGTGGTTAGTGTGTGCGTATGTGGTGGTAGGCCTGGACTGCTCTTGTGTTTGTAAAAATGAAATAGTTTACTTGGCATAACTATGGCCATTGCTTTGAGACCATAGACATAAGAATGCCACTTGGAATAAGTGGCAAAGCTATCTACTGTTTGCTTTCTGAATCTTTTACGAAACACAGACAATTTATAAAAGTTTTTTAAGATTTAAAGAAAACCTTTGCAATTTATCATGTAATTTAAATATCAGGCATACTCTTTTCTTGTCCAAATACTGTTTGTTGCTGTTCTACTCTTTAGGCAAGCAATTTTAGAGTTACTTAGCAAAACATGTAAGCTTAACTAGTATGGACTCGTATTCATTTCACTGCTTCTCAATTTCTTTTCCCTCAGGAGTCATCTTGCTTGATATCAGGACTAGATATGTATGAGATAAGTGTCTTCCTGAAATAAAACTGACCCAGTTTGTCGGAAGCTTTTACCTGAAGGTGATTTTGACTGGAAGGGCTTAAACTTAAAAGCCATGAATATCAAAGTCAACTTGTGATACCAATTGATGTGATGGTCTTGAAGGCAGAATAAAACAAAATAACCAAGAAAAATTAAATAAACCAATAGCCATGACATTTACAGATAATGCAGTAATATTTGATAGTAGATATTTTCCAAATATCTCAAAAAAACTTTATAGACAGTTAAAGAAATTCCTGCCCTTTTGAGGGAAAAAAGCAGAGATTCCTGCCTGGCAGGTGTGGGAGCAAGCACAAAGGGAAGAACTGACCTGTCTGAATACGTGCAGTAGTCTTCATCAGATCGTTTAGGGTGATACATATTTCTTTGAAATTCAGTTCTGTGTGTTACCACTTGCTTGTTCTTTTTTCAAGGGCCTAATATAATAATCCCTTATTTTAATTCACTTTTTACCATCTCACAGTATTCTTACAAAGAAGTGGGCAGTATATTTTGTGGCTGTTATTGCTATGTTGCTATTTATATCTATTTAGAATTTAAAAATACTTTAATGTACTTTAATACATTATTTCTTAAATTTCATCTGTATTTAAGGAAAAAAATTAAACAAGTAACCTATTAGAGAAATAATAATTTATTCCTTTTTTTTTCTAGTTGATATGTTTTAATTTTTAATGCAGTATTGAATTGTAATTATTCCTTGTGTCATCAAACCAAATAAAAGTGTCCAAACCATCCTGTTAAGTGGTTATTTCAGGATAGTTCTCCAAATGAACTTCCTGCTCAAAGCACTGTATGCTCAGAATGGACATACTTTCCCAGGTTGTAATAAACATACCAGGAAAAATACAGTGAATACTAGTTGTATGATAAAGTTACCCTAAGGAATAGTGTTATATACGTTATTAAAGGACACTTAGTATTTTGTACTTCCCTTCTGCATTACTTAAAGTTTCTGGCAGAGCACTGAGATGCTTTCATATCTTAAAGAAAATTCTCAGCAAAAATGAGAGAATGTTCTTACAGCGACTTTTTCAGATTAAAAAGATTATAGTTGTGGCCATGAAGTATAAAAATAGAAATAATAAATCCAAGTCAAATCTATGAATAAGCAGTTGAGTAATATGTTTCATGTAGTGGAGGATTACTGTGGGGCACTGGCTGTTCATGTCGTGGGAGAGAAGGGGTGGGGAGGAGTGATCCGCTTACCAATTATCTCTGATACTTTCAGTCATTTGACATTTTTATTGCAGCTCATTTATTGTATTTTATGGCCACCTCCAAGTCTGACTTTGAAGGTGTTTGTGCAGGACACTGCAAACTTTCTATCCAGCATCAACCTTACATTCGGATCTTCTTACCAGAGGGTCAGTTCAAGCCTACTGCAGCAGCAGGATAACTGACCTTCTTCTATAGGTTAATCTTGCTGCTTTTGGGTCTGTGACTTACAATTAGCAAAAAAACCCTCTTGGATATTTGCTATTTGATTGAAAAAATAAAAGAAAGCAGATTAGCGTAGGCTACTCTAGACTATTTTCAAATATAATTTATTTTTAGAGGTATGTTAGGTGAAAACCATAACATGGTGGGAAAATCCAGTGTCTGTTGCACTACAGTTTGGCAGGTTTTTAAGAGACAGACTACTTATGTGTTTTCTGCTCTTGAGGAATGTGTAGGTTTTTGAAAAGTATATTGAATTTTATTTTGTCTTTCGCAGAGTGGTTAGTACTAGAATCAGGATTTTGTCTTAACTGGATGTATAGCTAGCAAATAGAGCTGTAGAATATATGTTGTTTGTACCTGGTAAAAGGGTGGACTGGAGGGTAAAGGTGGCCAACAAACTCTGATACATCCTCTCAAGCCAGAAACACGGCTTGATGGTTTTTTATACAGGTGAGATATTTCTACTGGGAGAAACTGAAACTTAATAACTGTTTTAAAAGAATCTGGAGGTCACAAATATTACATAGATTATCAATAAATAAACTCCGGATTCCATGTCTGTGTCTTCCCAAGTTCTTTTAGTAGGAAAACTATTGTCATTCCAATGAAACATAATGTCCCCACTTTACATTATTGATGGACAGAAATACTTTGATAAACTGTTTTCCAGACTGAGGTTTTGCACTACCTGGCATTCTACAGGCATCTGCCCAATATAAAACTATGTGTTTTGTTGTTGTTTTTGGTTTTAGTTTCTCCAGCAATGGATTCTCAAAACCTGGGGTGATGAATTGAGAATTATGGTCTTTTAAATTGTGAATTATATTAATGTGGGAGCAGTTGAAGGCACTTTAGGATCAGCATTGACTGCTGGCAAGCTGGAAGAATGACCTGAAATAAATCTCTTAAGAACATGTGGAAAATGCTACATTTCAAATACAAATAATTATTCAAATAAATATAGGATGGGGTAACAGATGAAGCAGTTTGCTTGAGAATATGATCTGGCGATCTGTTGCAGATCATAAACAGGAGACAATGTTTTACTAATATGTAAGGGAAAGTACTAAAGTTGTGCATTTACGTTTTGTAAAGAAAGGAATAATCTCTCTGTGAAGAAGATTAAGAGTAATCTAGGGAGGGACATCTAGATATCAGGAAAAAATACTAATTGTGAGAACAGTCGAGCTCTATGATAATTTGCATAGGAAGGCCAAGGCATCCCTATTGTCAGAGACTTTTAAGAACAGGTTAGACAAGTGCCTGGGGTTGGTTGATTCCTCAGTCAGATAGATAGATTAGTGTTCTTGAGGTCCTTTCCAGCTGTTTTATCTACTTGTCTTGAAAATAACTGTAATAGAAGTGCCTTGTATAGAAGATAGCCTTGATTTGTAAGAGTTGTTGGGTCTTTATTTTAGATGAGCAAAGACTTTTTTTTTTTCCTTCAAAGCACCACATAATGCATTTGTTGAGTAAGTTTAATACAGTCCTGAGAGAAAAAGACTTCTGTGCCTTGATGAGAGCGAGCTACCTCTTGCTAAATTTAAATACAAAAATGATACTTCCTAACCCCTTAGTTTTTTTTAAAATGTATTTGTTCTCATAGGTGTTTTGGCCTTATACAGTTAATAAGTTTAGTATTACCTTGAGTGCCTTTCTTCACCCTGCCTTGGTTTCTTTGACCACTCTGGGAACATGAACATGTATTCAGTAACTTAAAACTGGTATAGAAAGACATTAGACACTTCTGTGGTAGGCTGCCATATTGTCTTCTAAATCAAAATTGCTTTAAAAAAATGCTGCTTCTAGTTTATAATTATTAAGGAGAAGTCACTGCTTTTTATGTATTTATTAGTGTCTGTATCAGAGGACCATACCTTCATAACTTTTTGGTATTTTTTTTCTTTGTTTATTCTCCTGATCAAAGGGGCTTAGCTTGGACTATTTTTGAGGTAGAGTATTACACAACATTGGTTTTTAATGCTTTATTTGAAAAAATTTTCCTTTTTTTCAGGCCTCTGTCTTGAGAAGTTGCCAATTTCTTCTTCAGCTAGCAACCTCCATATGGACCGTGAACAAGAAATTGTTACATGCTATGAGAAGGCTGGGGATATTGCTCTTCTGTACCTTCAGGAGATAGAAAGGGTAGGCTGGGATGATTTGCTTAATTGAAGAATTGCGTGGCTCATCTTTCATTTTGATGTGGTGTTACCAGCATTTTGGTAACTCAACTAAAAGATGTCTCATATTTGTTTCCTTAGGACTTCAACGCACACTTACAGTTGTGTCTTAATGGATGTCTGGTAGCTGTCCTTCTAACTGTTCTCTCATTCTGACCTCTTAGAAAAAAGTGCTAGTTCTTTAAAAAGGGGCAGAGTGCCTCTGAACTACTGTGTATATTCAAGATGCCAGCCTGTGGCCTCTGTCACCCTATGGCAGTTCATTTATGAACATGGGATTATGGTGTCTTTCAAGCACACATGTGGGAGTATGTACATTGTATGTGCATACTTACTAGCTTTTCAGATAATTCTCGAAAGAATTCAATTCCAAATGAAGCTATAAAGATTGAAAAATTTCTTGTTGATGTTTATTTGGAGCTAGTAGTTTCACTGCTCTTAAATCCTCTTTATAATACTACTTGAAGGTAAAATTCTGAAATAACATTGTACCTGTCAACCAGACACTTGATGTAATGTCCAGAATAGTAATTGAAGGGGTGGGTGTTTCAACTAATAGGCACGATCCCGGGACAAAGAAAAAATCACCAGATGTGATAGCCAGATAAACAGATGACTTTAAAGATATAGGTGAACTTGATATAAATCTTAATAGTTCTATAAATTGGATCGGGACCATGTTCTCAGACTTGATAGCTCATCTGTCATTTTATCTCATTAATATTTTTACTCACTGTATGTATGAAACTACAGTTACTCTTAAAAGTAATATTGGATATTTTTCCTGAAAGATACAGTTGTCTACATCTGAATCTGGACTCCAGAGTTGCTCTACTTTTCAAACTACATATGAGTAGAAAGATAGCCAAAAATCTGAGCTACTAGATATGTAGAAGACCTGTTTTTTATTGATGAAAGTTGATATATTTGAGCTTCTTGATGTTAGGCAAAATATAACCAACAAACAGCTCTGCAGAATATTAGACAAGTTACTGTTTTCTTTTTTCCCCTCATTTTATAAGTTATGGATTATAAATTATGGAAGCTTAAAGTTAGGCTCTTTAATTGGAAAGAGCATAATGCTTCATGTTTTAAAAGCTTCAAGCTTTATCTGAATTTAAAGGGATACATAGGCTGTTTTATTTCCTCCTCTTGTTTTCATTTACACCATTAACCTTCTCTTCTGTTTCTTACCGCTTTGCAGTAGTGTTCAAATGTTAGAAATACTTTTTTTTAAAGAGAAGAAAATTTGTGATACCCTTTGTTTCTGGGATTTACACACTACTGCATTTTATTTAGATATGTCTGGACAAAAGACAATACACTTGGGGCTCTATTCTTTGGCTTATGAATACCATTAGAATTAAGCAAGCTAGCAATATGAATCTCACCCTCTTTTTCAGACCTATGGCTTACAAGCCTCAGGCCTGTCATTTGACAGTCGTCTTTGAAGGGGTTATTAGAAACAGTTAGGGTCACACAAGCAAAAGGAAGGGGAAAGGAAAGTAAACACATACACACTTTTTTTTTCTGAGTTAGTTTTGCTTTGGGCTTTTTGTTTGTTTTGTTATTGTCTTTTAGTGGCTGGTAAACGGTGTGTGGTGAATATGAAGGGAAATGAAAGCTGATAGCTCTCCATTTTGAGAGCATTTTTAATGTTGATGTAATGCCAATTAAGTTATTTCTAAGTTGTTTTTTGGAAATGACTCTGGAGATCGTTTTTAATCTTACTGCTTTGTGCAGCAGTCTAGCCTAACAGGGTTTTAAATGTTGAATACCATCACCCCCTCCTACTGAATAACGTTGCGAATATGCTTTTTTCATACACTTCCCTTTTGTATACCATTCTTCACGAAAATTTCTAAAAAATATTGTATAATTTTTCTTAGTGGCATTTCTGCTGCGTGAAGAAATTACCTTTAAGAGTATAGTGAAGAGCAAAAAGATTTATATTTAGATGGGAATGGCGGTAAGGATAGAAATAATCTACTAGCCATGGCCTACAAATGAAAAAGACTTCTCCAACATTAAGTATTCGCTTCTGTGTAAAAGTCCACAAAACTTGATATTTTTTTTTCTAAATACGTTTTTTTCCTTTTTATTTTGCTCTCAGGTAATTAATGCAAATATACAAAACAGAAGCCCTAAGCCAGGGCCCACTGCACATGAACAAGAACTTGGTTTTTTCTTGGAAACAGGACTTCAGAGAGCACATGTTTTGTATTTCAAGAATGGGTAAGATTTGATTCTCCTTTTTTTTTTTCCCCCTGTTTGTTTGCTTTTTTGTTTAGGTTTTATATTTGTGATCTAAATGGGCATCATCATTTTTAGCAGTTGTGGATTGCATAATCATGAGGCCTCTTATTAAAGTAGTAATATTTTGATTGAAATAGTAAGGCTGCCCATATTGTATTTACTTATGTATTGTAAAATTGTTTAATCAAAGTATATGAAACAGAAAGGATTTTACATTTTTACTTACTAAATGTGAGAAAATAGCTTAAACTTTAACTATTTGAAATTTCTTTACTTTATTACTAGATACTTGTAGAAAGTGATTGGCAATTTATTGAAACTCTTGATTCAATAGGGGGGTTGGACTAGATGACCTCTAGGGGTCCCTTCCAACCCAAAACATTCTGTGATTCTATGATTCTATGATTTTTATAATTTTGATTTTGTAATTTTTTTTCCAAATCTCTTCAGTTATCACTTATTTTAACATTATGCTGCAGGATAAATGTGCATCAAGATGAACAGTATGTATACAAGTATACAGTCTTCATTGTACCTGCTCTATAGATCCTTTTAGATTCTGCATGGGAGATCCTTTATAATTTATTTTAAATAAGGCTTCCCTTAAAAGCCTAAAAATAAATTCAGCTGTTACAGAAAATGAGAAAAGAAATATAACTCTCCATTTTTAAGAGCTTCAAAACTTGGCATAAGTGGTTTCTAAGTACATTTCTGACATTTGTTGTTGAAATCAGATAGTTTAAAAATTTGTTTGCAGGGCTTCTTATTTCACTAGGAAAATGTGGTTTGATTGAAATATTGGAAACCTGATAGGACTACTGTTTTGTACGAAAAATGTTTCTTATTTTTTCCAATACATATACAGGAGGTGAAGGGAAATCATACAGTGTCTGTAAAGAGTTCGAGATTTTAATGTACTCATGGTAGGGTGACAAAAGGCTATCCAAGTTTTCTAACTGTTCAGGGATTTCAGCATGGAAATGATTGCTAAGCTTTTGAAATCTCATTCTTAAAGTAATGAAGTAGTGCTGCAGTAACACATGATCTGAGGGTTACATTTTAGTTCCCTTTTCATCATTTAATTGCAGGAGGAATGAATGTTCTGAAAGTTCTTTTTTTTTTTTTTTTCATATACCAGGGCTAAAACTAAAATGTCTATTTTCATGCCTGCACACAAGATAAATAAAATATACATAGTGAAAGAATCCCAGTGGCAATTGTGGTTAAGAGTAAGCTAAAAATTCCACATTTTGGAGAATTTTGATTGAAGGCCAGGAATGGAAATGGTCCATTTAATCTGACAAATTGTGCCTAAAAGCAACAGCAGATTAAGATTAATTAAGAAAACAAAAACAACCCCACAAAAAAAGTCATCCAGCCCATAGGAGTGTTTTTCCTAGACTGTATCAGTTGGTCTGGTGTGAACTTTGAAAGGTTGATTGTATTCCATGTACACTTTAATCCTTCACAGTGAGGCTGTGGGTGTCCTTGTTACCTCCTACATAAGCATATTATCTCTTCCAGTTTCATTGGCCAATGCTACTTTTTTTTTGTGGTACGAGAGGAAGCCAGGTGTTGGGAAAAACAGCTTGGTTCCAATCATTATTTTACGTATTCCTGCCATTATATCCTTTAGTTTCCTTTCTTAATTTAGAGCCAATCCCAGTTCTTTCAAGATTTCCTAGTATGGTCATTGCTCCAGGCTGCTCGTTATGTTGCTACTTTTATGAGTCCCTTCTTTAGTTTTTTTTTTTTTATTTTTTAACTCAGGTTTACCCAAACTGAACAGAACTTTAAATACGTGTACTTTTCTAATAGTTACAAATTTATAGCATGCATTTTAATGCATTTATTTTAAGGATGCTTCACTTGGTTTTTAAATGTGTCATCTCTCCTGATGTTAGGTTTATAGAAATTAGATTCAAGATCTTTGAATTAAGCTTTGCAGCATACTTCAAGTTTTAATTTAATCTATAATTATAAAGATTATATGAACATAGTCAAGGAGAGGAAATGTAGATATCTTTAATATAGGCAGTTTAGAAATTGAAACATTTCTTTTAAATGAACTTCTTTTGCAGTTGAAGCTGTAGATGTTTAAAGGGCTTCGATCCTGTGGAGGAGGCAGGGAATCACCAGAGTTTAACTGCTTGTGAGTGATGGGAGAGAAGAAGAGGAAGAGTGTGCCTGTCTGTATTTACAGGCCAATTAAATCTCTCATTTGTATTACAGTGCAGTGGAATCTCTTATTTGTGTATGTTCATGAAGTGAGGCTGACTCCCAGAAGAGTTTAATCTGAAATAAAATTCCTTTCACCAAACTATAACCTGGCATTGACTTGAGTCAGTTCAAATGTTGTCTTGTTACCACCATAATGGCTATAGCAATTTATGTATTAGAGCATGCTTAAAGATCCGAGTAGATGTCTATGGATAAACGACAGTGATTTTTGGTGGGTTTTTTAGACATCAGTTCCACTCCAATAAGTACTAATAAACATTTCTCAAAATCTGCTGGAGAATTTAATTTGACTGAAGTCCTTTTACTAGGGAGTGGGTTTTTGTTGTTCTATATCTAGGGGTCAGCTGGCTAATCACTGCTTTTAATTTCATGTCTTCCACTAGAAGTGGAAGCATTGTTTTTGTGCATGTATCAGTTACAAACTAGGAAAGTAAATAAGATAACTTTTATACTAGCTGGAACAGCATAATTTTAGCAGTACTGTAGGGAGTACTGCTGCCTATCCAGAAAGCTGGTTGATCTACCTTAAACTTCCCCTTTGTTCTCTAACTGTACAGAGATTTTCTTTTAAGCCAAGAAATCAAGTTTTTGTAGAGGATTAAGTGACTATCTTTCAGGTATGCATTATCTTGCATGAAAAGCTAGAAAGTGTTTGAAGCCTAACTTATGACTGCTAAGTGCTGGCATTTTCAAAATACATGGAAAAGCAATTATCTAAAAAAAAAAATAAAATAGTGGCAGTAGTCTGAGCGGAAGAATGTTATTTTAGTGTTCTATTAAGACAAATCTGAAATTAATGTTTTCTTCCAAAGTGTACAGAATTTTAGTAAAGAATCAAACTACATACCCATTTTTCACTTGGGAGCAGAGGAATGTTTCAGCTTGGAAATGAGTAACAAAGTAGTTGAGGAAGCTGTTCTAAAACTTAAGGTAGGGTTTATGTGCTTTTTAAAAAACATTCTGAAATATATAACTTTAAATGTCTTTCAGGCTGATTGCGCAACTTCAATTTAGCCTAGTAGTTGCTTTGTAATTTCAAATTGAAGGAGTTCAAAGTCCCGATGTTGTTCCAAGAAAAACTATGAGCACAGGAACTTTGACATTAGTACTTTAACAAACATAGCTGTTTTCAAGTAAAATGCCCCTGTGAGAGAAAGGACAGCAGTTTATATATCCACTAGTCCTTCTATCCTACTATTTGCTTTGTATTTGTCTTATGAGATAAAGAAGACAAACTTAAATTCTAAGTGTTTTTTATTTTTGATGTAGTCGTGTTCAGAATTATACTGGAAGTATATTCCTCTTAAAGGAAAAGAGCTTTCTGGTTGGAGTGTAAAATCAGGTGGCCATTGTGTGAAAACCAGACTTAGCTAGCCTTCAGAGTTCTTTTCTGTGACTTCTCCTGTATTTCACACCCTCTCTAAGGATATTGCTCTGTCAAGAGTCCAGGTTCCAATCTGCAATCTTCATCATGGTTTGTTAGCCATCACAAAACTTGAAAGCACTAAATTCAAGGTTTTGGGTTTATGTTGTGTTGTGATGGGCAGTAAACAAAATGGTATTGGAGGCTTAAATTGGGGAGGGAATATTTAGTGCACTTCCCCTGCTCCCCCAAAATGCTTGCTTTACTACTGTATTTAATGCTCATTTTTATTTCCTCCTCTGGTTTTGATGTTGTTGTGAAGAATGCTGCTTTGCAGGCCAGTATCACATGACATGGCTATGCCAGAAGTTTTTATTTTCTTTTTTTTTTTTTTTTTCCCTTTTCTTTTTGTCCCTTCCCTTGCAACTTGTAAGATATGGATTCATAGGATCGTACAGGTTGAAAGGGACTCTGAGGGGCCATGTAGCCAAACGCCTGCTCAAAACATGGCCAGCGTAGAGCAGCTTCTCAGGGTCTTGGCCAGTTGTTCTGCATGTTGCCAAATTCTGATGAAGTTTGGGGCTTACATGTTTTGTGAACAACATTCATGAGATATATCACCTGAATGTGAGCTGCAGTAACCTACGACTAATTAAGTCTTTCGAGTTTCTTTCTGTTAATACTGATTTTTCTCTAAAGGACAGTTAATTGCTGTGCCTAAATGATAGTTATTTTCACCAAGAGAAAGATTTTGTTTTATGAATGTAGCATTTGGCCATTTCTCTTAAGGCTTTAGCGATAATTTAACATAGAGCTTTTCAGTATTTTGAATTCCTGGTTACTAATTATGTTGGTTCTTTTTTCATATTGAAGTCATGTTTTTTGAACTGATTAAAAATTACAGAAGCTGCCAGTTTTAACTACAAAAATGTTAATTGACCCTGTTAACTTCAAAAGGGGTAAATCAGCAGGTAGGAGGACTAATTGGTGCTGGATTTCTTTGTGATGGTGGTAGAAAGTGATTTGCTAAGCATTAAGATATGTTTGCCCAGGAAAGAGTGAATTTATT